CGATACGCTATGCTCCGAATAATATTATTATTTAATATTATATTAATAAAATTATATATAGAAAAATTACACTATAGTTTCAGTCAAACAGCTTAAATTTGTTCCAAAACAAATCTCGCACATCTGTGCATATGATTCTCAAATGGTTCTAACATCCCCGGAACGAAGTGAATGCTGCCGGCCAAGTATCAGAAATGTGTTGTGTTACAAAAGTTGCAAGTCATTGTTTATTAGTGTTCAAAGTTAGTAACTGAATATAGATTCTTACTGGTCATAGGTACTTACTGGTCATAGACACTTAATGTTCATAGTTAATCACTGGTCATAGTTAATTACTGATTATAGTTAATTAAGGGTTATAGTTAATTACTGGTCAACTATTAATTACCGATCATAGTTCTTCAAATCGTCCTATTGTTCCTATATCAGCTTTATATATGTAAATATATTGTCCACCGATTCGCCATGCTCCGAATTATATGTTAGTAGCATTATATAGGAGAATAACTCAATAGTTTCTGTGAAATAGCTTAAATTTGTTCCAAAACAAATCTCGCACTTCTGTGCATATGATTCTCAATTGGTTCTAACATCCCCGGAACGAAGTGAATGCTGCCGGCCAAGTATCAGAAATGTGTTGTGTTATAAAAGTTGCAAGTCATTGTTTATTAGTGTTCAAAGTTAGTAACTGAATATAGATTCTTACTGGTCATAGGTACTTACTGGTCATAGACACTTAATGTTCATAGTTAATCACTGGTCATAGTTAATTACTGATTATAGTTAATTAAGGGTTATAGTTAATTACTGGTCAACTATTAATTACCGATCATAGTTCTATAAATCGTCCGATGGTCCCTATGGCAGATATATATATGTAAATATATAATCCACCGATTCGCCATGCTCCGAATTATATGTTAGTAGCATTATATAGGAGAATAACTTAATAGTTTCAGTGAAATAGCTTAATTTTGTTCCAAAACAAATGTCGCACTTCTGTGCATATGATTCTCAAATGGTTCTAACATCCCCGGAACGAAGTGACTGCTGCCGGCCAAGTATTCGAAATGTGTTGTGTTACAAAAGTTGCAAGTCATTGTTTATTAGTGTTCAAAGTTAGTAACTGAATATAGATACTTACTGGTCATAGGTACTTACTGGTCATAGACACTTAATGTTCATAGTTAATCACTGGTCATAGTTAATTACTGATTATAGTTAATTAAGGGTTATAGTTAATTACTGGTCAACTATTAATTACCGATCATAGTTCTATAAATCGTCCGATGGTCCCTATGGCAGATATATATATGTAAATATATAATCCACCGATTCGCCATGCTCCGAATTATATGTTAGTAGCATTATATAGGAGAATAACTTAATAGTTTCAGTGAAATAGCTTAATTTTGTTCCAAAACAAATGTCGCACTTCTGTGCATATGATTCTCAAATGGTTCTAACATCCCCGGAACGAAGTGACTGCTGCCGGCCAAGTATTCGAAATGTGTTGTGTTACAAAAGTTGCAAGTCATTGTTTATTAGTGTTCAAAGTTAGTAACTGAATATAGATACTTACTGGTCATAGGTACTTACTGGTCATAGATACTTACTGGTCATAGACACTTAATGTTTATAGTTAATCACTGGTCATAGTTAATTACTGATTATAGTTAATTAAGGGTCATAGTTAATTACTGGTCAACTATTAATTACCGATCATAGTTCTTCAAATCGTCCTATTGTTCCTATATCAGCTTTATATATGTAAATATATTGTCCACCGATTCGCCATGCTCCGAATTATATGTTAGTAGCATTATATAGGAGAATAACTCAATAGTTTCTGTGAAATAGCTTACATTTGTTCCAAAACAAATGTCGCACATCTGTGCATATGATTCTCAAATGGTTCTAACATCCCCGGAACGAAGTGACTTCTGCCGGGCAAGTATCAGAAATGTGTTGTGTTACAAAAGTTGCAAATCATTGTTTATTAGTGTTCAAAGTTAGTAACTGAATATAGATTCTTACTGGTCATAGGTACTTACTGGTCATAGACACTTAATGTTCATAGTTAATCACTGGTCATAGTTAATTACTGATTATAGTTAATTAAGGGTTATAGTTAATTACTGGTTAACTATTAATTACCGATCATAGTTCTATAAATCGTCCGATGGTCCCTATGGCAGATATATATATGTAAATATATAATCCACCGATTCGCCATGCTCCGAATTATATGTTAGTAGCATTATATAGGAGAATAACTTAATAGTTTCAGTGAAATAGCTTAATTTTGTTCCAAAACAAATGTCGCACTTCTGTGCATATGATTCTCAAATGGTTCTAACATCCCCGGAACGAAGTGACTGCTGCCGGCCAAGTATTCGAAATGTGTTGTGTTACAAAAGTTGCAAGTCATTGTTTACTAGTGTTTAAAGTTAGTAACTGAATATACCTACTTACTGGTCATAGATACTTAATGTTTATAGTTAATCACTGGCCATAGTCAATTACTGATTACAGTTAATTAAGGGTCATAGTTAATTACTTGTCAACTATTAATTACCGATCATAGTTCTATAAATCGTCCGATTGTTCCTATTGCAGATATATATATGTAAATATATAATCCACCGATTCGCCATGCTCCGAATTATATGTAACTAACATTATATAGGAGAATAACTCAATAGTTTCAGTGAAATAGCTTAATTTTGTTCCAAAACAAATGTCGCACTTCTGTGCATATGATTCTCAATTGGTTCTAACATCCCCGGAACGAAGTGACTGCTGCCGGCCAAGTATCAGAAATGTGATGTGTTACAAAAGTTGCAAGTCATTGTTTATTAGTGTTCAAACTGATTATAAATTCTTAATAGTCATAGATACTTACTTATCATAGTTACCTAATTTTCATTGGTCATAGTTAATTACGGCTCATAGTTACTTACTGTATATATTCTTAATATGGTCAGAGATGACTGTTTTACTTGTGGCTGAAATAGTAATGTCCTGCAAGGGTATGAATATGCTCACCTTATTCTATAGAAAGAATTCTGCTGTTGCAATGGTTTACCTCGGCTAACTGGGATTTAATACCCCTCTACTCTGTTAAGCAAATGAAACCGTGTTTTTTTGTTTGAGTTATTTTTGAACCTATAAATATTGAAGATTTATCTGCCGTCCAAACGAATGCAAACAAGCTGGCCAACTTGGCTGCGTCTGAGCCCCCCGTCGAGTTCCTGGCCCGAACCCAACACCAAACCCAAACCCAATCCCAATCCCAGAGTGCTCAGACGCAAATGACATGCAAAATAAGCAGCAGAGGCAGAGGCTGCGGCAGAATCAGTAGAACCAGGACCAGGACGAGGACCAGCAGCAGTCGGGCCACTTATGGAGGAGCCCCAGACATCCGCCAGATAGGGTTTATTAGGGCAACGAGCAGCCGAACCGAGCCAAGCCGAACGAAACCAGTGCGAATGTGCCGGGCAGTGTAATTTATGCGGGTTTCGAGTAAAAATGTTTGCATAAACTTTATGCAAAAATATGCTCTGGCCAACGCATGCTGGGCTTACGGCGGGTGGCACGAAAAAAGGGGTGTGCTTGGTGAGGGGGTGATGGCAAGGTCCTTTGGCAGGATGCTATACTCCTGGCCCGGGCACATTAACTGAAATTGATTTTCGATTTTTCCCCCCACTCTCGAACGTTTCGTTCTGGAAACAAAGTCTGAAAAATGCTCTCTAGCTGAATTAGAAAATAAAGCAATTTGTTTTTGCGCATTTTGTGTCGTTTCGGTTATCCTGGAAAAAGTTTGATTAGTTTGTTTTGCATTTGTTTTCGGCGCTCGGGGTCGAGAGTTTGGGTGCGGATAATGTTATTAATGTTTAGATATATAGTGCGGCCAGGGAGTTGATCGAACTCTCGGCCAACATTCTATTTCCGAACACACTTGCCGAAAAAAGCTTTTGCAACATATTTGCCAAAAAGTTTTCGGGCCTTAGGTTCGGGGGTTCCCAAAAAGTTTGCCCGAGTCGAGTGTTTGAGGATTTTCCACTGTGAGTTTTTGTTTTTTGTTGCACACTTTTAGCTACAAAATTTTGAAAAGCCTTTTCCGGAGGGTCGAGATCAAGGGCCAAAAGCCTCAGGTCAGTTGGCACCTGACCCTTGAGCACTTTGCAGAAATGCACTTTGACTTTCGCGCGGTTTACTGTGAGAGTTCAGACGGAAGGGATTTTGGGGTTAAATAGTGCGAAAAAGTGGTGACTCGGATTTTGGATAAGTCTAATGGAATAACATAAGGAAAAGCCGATTAGATTCTAATTTTCCGGGTATAAGTACCTTAAATTGTACAATATTTTCACAGTTTTATAAGTTTTCTTTAATTACATCCTTATTAACTATCATAAAAAGTCGTAAAAACTAGTATTGCTTCAAAATTGACGGCTGATTCGAAGGAATTAACATTTTTTATTGATTTTATACTTATTTGGAAGTAAAACTGGGTATAAGTTATTGCATACTTCTTTGGAGTTAAACAAATCTTTACCAACTTCTTGTGTAATTTTTATGTATTTAAATATCAAGCTCCTGCTCATTATTTACCCTGATAAAGGATAAAGGATAAAAGTTTTACCTTAAATTTAACCCAAAATAAATCTAAATCATTTGCACTGTGTTTTTGTTTAATTTCAATTCTCTTTAAATTAATTTCTCCCCTAAGTTTTGAATACTTTAGAACCCAATTGGCGCCGCTGAAGGTGCTAATTTTGTTTCCACTTTTAGACAAGATCAAATGCCGACATAATTTTTTTTATTTACAATCCTCGGAGACCGATTCGTTACCCTTGACCACATTCCGTTTCCAAACTGACCGTGACCAGAAACAAATTGGCGTGCAAAGTGCTCGACAAATCAATTGCAATTACCCGGCCGGCCGACCTGCCATCGGGGAAAATGGGAAATGGAAAAGAGGAATACGCCAAGTTGTGGCAGGGGAGTCAATGCAAAATGTAAAACATTAAGTAATTCCGCTCCGTTTGTGTTTTGCGCCGCAATGAGCCACGGAGCTCAATCAGAAAGTTAGCCAAACAAATTGCGGAGCGAAGGCACAAATGAGATACGCTTTTCGCCTGACTTTATTTTTGGCTTTGCTCATCGCTTTATTTTTCCCCGGCCGACACAACAACCATACAAAAAGTGAGTGAAAAACAGCAACAACAACAACAACATTAAGGCGGAAGGTCGGCGGAAAATCAGGCAACAATAACAAGCAAGGCGGCAAGGGCTTGCTCCACTTTTCCGCGGAGAGCGAAAGCAATTTCCGTTCGTTAAACCTACATTTCGAAATTAAATTTTTTACACTTGAGAAGTTCGCAGCTTCAAATATTTCATTTTGCCTCAAACGCGGCGCAATTATGCGCTGTCAGTGCGGCAGTGGGTGGCAGCGATGGCAACCACCCCCTTTTTTGCCCAGCCCACTCAGCCGAGAACCAGGAAGCAGGAAACAGGAAACAGGGCAACCCCCAGGTCCAGGGCAAAACCCATTGCCGGAATCCCACCCAGACCAGAGTGAGTCGTTGTAATACGGTGGCAAGGGCGTGACGCCTTTAAAACTTTGCCCCCTTGGCTTAAGGGGAATGAGAGAAAAAGGTATTAAATCAACGACTAAGTGCTACCCATTGAGGATTCCCTGAAGAAAAAGACGCATTTAATTTGATTTTCACGGGTAATTATGGCCATTGGAAACGGTTGCTATTCGTAGATTACAGTTACTCTTGATAAAATAAAAAGATTAAGTGGGGTTTCAATAGGTACTTGAGTCAAGGAAAATGAAACTTTAATCTTTCTTCTTTAAGATGCAATAATTAAGTTTAAGCCAGGCTTTATAGGCTTCTTTATTCAATATTCTTATTCTAAAATTAACAAAACTCATGGAATATTTATCAATTCTGTAGGAAAAACCCTAAGAAAATGTATCTGCTGATATTTTAAAGAAAATTCAGCATTTTAAAGACCACCAACCGGAAGACCCAATGAAAACTCGCATAGGGTACAAACAACAGCCATCAACAACGTGCAGAAAAGCTGAAAAATATACACGAAAATATTGCTGAAACAAATGTCGGGTCCCAGGCCTCCTCCGCTCCTCACTCCCCACCAGTTTTCCCAGCTCCACCTTCTGCACTTGCCACCCCCCAGAAAAAGTCCTGGCACTCATTACGAGCTGGGTGGCAAGGAGCCGGGAATACAAAGTTTAGACTCTGTGTTTGCTGTGGTTGCCCCTTCGTGGTCGGGCGTGGAGGTTACCAAACAAACACAACAAAAATTCTGCCGAGTATTAAATATCTATTGGGAAAATTGCGGAGAGAGAGTGAGGGAAAGCCTCGACCACCATCAGGCGATGAAAATATTATGCTTGCCTTTCATTATGTTTTCTATTTTTTTTTTTTTCTTTTTTGCGGCTCTGTGAAGCTCCGCACAAAATTGCGCCGGGAAGCTTAATTAAGGCATTATTTGTGTCATCGATTTTGGGTGCGATGGTGCGGCCTAGACCTAAAATATGTATGGGTATCTGATCACACAAAACCGACCCGATACCATCTAATTTATATTATCTGCTTAATTTATATGGAACACGAAATTGCAAAACAAAAACCCTACGCAAAGTAGATAAGTCTCGTTCCCCTCTCTCACTTTCCAAAAACGAGCTGGAAAAAAGGAAAAAATTACAACAAGAAAAAGGGAAATGTTGGACGAAAATTGGAATAAAGAAAAAGGGACCGCCAATAAAATCTGTTTTATTTGCATGCTCCTGGCGAGGACAGGGACGTGGTTTTATTTTCGGCTATCCGAAAAGGGGGCCCCGGGCTAATAAACGGCCAATCAGAATTCGAATAAACTGAATGCAATTTGAGTTGAGAGGAAACGGAATTAATGTTTACCAGTTTACAGCGCTTTTATGGGCGCAGTGCAGTGGGAGTTTTGTTATTAACAAGTAAAACAAAGAAGAAATCGGATGAAGTCCAAACTTCACTTGAGGAGTTATGAAGGGGTCAAGGGTCCAGGACCTCCCGCATCCTGCCGGAATGCAAAAAGTTAGGCGACGCGTCTGGCATACTACGACGCCATTAAATAGAATATTTAATTTTATTGTTACCCTCCCCAGTCCTGAGGCAATGTCCTTTGTCACCAAGGATACATCACACACACACATCCAATGATGCCACGAAAAAGGGTCAGGCCTTCACAAAATGAAGCGACGCGCATTTTTCGAGGCTTAGCTACAAATTTAAATTCCGAGCATGCTGCTGCTGCGAAGGCTCCGAAGGCATCCAGCACATATTTACATATTCCCCGCGCCTCGTATTATTTTTTATTTTACTTCTCTGCACCCAAAGCCATTTTATATTACCAAAACGAAGAGTGGAACAAAACACAACAAAAAATGAAACGAAAAGTTTTATACATTTCTAATATGGAAACCCTTTTGCGATGCTTCTTTTTTTTAACAAAAGCCTTCTCTTCTCTCGCTTTGCAGGTTGCTTTTGGCCAACTAAGCCGCGGATGATTAAAACGCTAAAAAGGTAGGTTTCCAGAATTTTCCACAGCTTTAACGTACTTTTTGGGTGAAAAACATAAAGCTCTCTCATTGGAAAATTTTTATTATTAATTACTTAACGTTAAAACGTTGAAAAAAAACCTGTAATACATTTTTTAAAAGCTTTTTAACTTTCACTTTTAGTTGAAAATTGCATTGTGTTTAATCAAAGCACTTTATTTTAATTTATTTCCGTTTAAAACAAAAAACTGCCAAGTAACTTCATATCATTTTAACAAAAAGAAAGCTAAGACCGTCCAAAATTTGTATACCCTTGCAGATTAAAATTCGATAACTAGAAATTATATATATTTATGTTAAAATACAATAAAATAATGCCTGTTTTCATTTCATTCAGCTATACATTTTATATTAACAATTTTATATTCACCGATTTGCATTTTTTTCTTTTCATCTGTATGATATAGTCGTCCGATGTTCATAAAATTTTACACAAAGTTCTAAATTAATATAAAATGGTTATTTATTAAATTTGATGAAAATCTGTCGAAAACTGGAAAAGTTATAATTTTTTTTTTCTTAATATGTTTGGATCGTTCCTATGGTAGCTATATATTTGTATATATATAGTCCACCGATTCGACATGCTCCGACTTATATGCTAGTACAATTATATAGAAGAATAACTCCATAGTTTCAGTCGAATAGTTTAAATTTGTTCCAAAAGCAATCTCGCACATCTGTGCATATGATTCCCAAATGGTTCTAACATCCCCGGAACGAAGTGACTGCCGCCGGCCAAGTCTCAGATATGTGTTGTGTTACAAAAGTTGCAAGTCATTGTTTATTAGTGTTCAAAGTTAGTAACTGAATATAGATACTTACTGGTCATAGGTACTTACTGGTCATAGACACTTAATGTTTATAGTTAATCACTGGTCATAGTTAATTACTGATTATAGTTAATTAAGGGTGATAGTTAATTACTGGTCAACTATTAATTACTGATCATAGTTCTATAAATCTTCCGATCGTCCCTATGGCGGCTATATATATGTATGTCCACCGATTCGCCATGCTCCAAATTATATATTAGTAAAATTTTATTGAAGAATAAATCCATTGTTTCACTAAAATAGCTTAAATTTGTTCCAAAACAAATCTGGCACATCTGTGCATATGATTCTCAAATGGTTCTAACATCCCCGGAACGAAGTGACTGCTGCCGGCCAAGTCTCAGATATGTGTTGTATTACAAAAGTTGCAAGTCATTGTTTATTAGTGTTCAAAGTTAGTAAGTAATCACACATAATTACTGGTCATAGATATTTACTGATTAAAGTTATATACTGATCATATATACTTACTGATCATAGTTAATTAATGGTCATAGTTAAGTACTGTTCATAGTTCTTACAGTTTATAGTTACTTAATGTTCATTCATACTTACTGTTCAGAGTTACATACTGGGCATAGATATTCACTGATCATAGTTAATTATTGATCATAGTTACTTACTGTTGAAAGATACTTAATGACAACCGTTTAACAACAGTTTCTCCGACAGTTATATTAAATAGTATATAGAAATTTTATAATAATAAAAGATTGCTATGAAACAAATTAGATAAAAATATGCTAAGAACTGTAAAATTTATTATTTTTTCGTTAAAATTTACCGAGCAAGAATATATATACTTAATATGGTCGAAGGTAACTCCTTCACTGCGTTGCAAACTTTTGATTGAAATTATAATACTCTGCAAGGGTATAATAAAAAGTAAATTTACCTTTAAATTTATTAGCCTTTTTTTTTGTATTTTTGCCTTTTATTTTATGCAAATCAAATTAAGTATGGAAATCAAAAGCGACGCCACGGCTTTGAAATAAGTTTTCAATTTTGTGAAATATTTATTTTCCTTTGTGCCTTTTGCCATCGAGCTGTCATGTGCTTGGCCCTTATTTATTTATGATTATATTTATTTATTTATAAATGTTATGTGTGCATATGGGCGATTCGTCAGAAAATACTTGCAATATTTCATTGGGGTTTAAAAACAATATTTATACGCTTGCGGGCCATAAGTAAAACCGAGAGTTTTTTATTTCAGGTTTTGTGGAATTCATTCCTCTTTTTTTCGTTGAGCTTTCGGGGGCTATGGAGTTTATTAACTGAAAGACATAAAAATGGCCACAAAAATCGGCGGGAAGCGGCAATGGCCATGTAAAAGTAGCACAGACAAACGGCATTCGCAATAAAAACGAAATTGATTTATGAGTGGGCTTGAAATGTTGCCATTCTGCCAAGTTGATGCCAGGCTATTTGTGGCCATATGAAAACGAAGTTCAGTTTTTTATCCAAGTACTTGACGAGTGTCTAGGTTTTCTGGTTTCTTTTCACCATTCAGGTGTTTTAGTCGAACAATAATTCAATGAGCAAATGGTATAAAATATTCTAGTCACTAGACTGTTATTCATTCTTTAAAAGCAAGTATTGTGTGATCAGAGGCATTTTCATCAAGTAAATGAATATTCAGTCAGTAATTCTCACTCTTCATTATTATTCCAGTACACTCAATTCTCGGTCTCGCCAGTTGTCTCCAAGTTATCTCATTACAAGTATCTTGAGGTTGGCGAGGTGGAAAATGCCAAGAAGAATAGCAACATTTTAATTTCTTTTTAATGCCCAACGAACTCATGGTCTTAGCTTCCCTCTGGCTTGGGGTAGACCAAAAAATTAATTATCGTTGGCAAACAGGCTCACTGGAGGCTCCAAAGGAAGGAGGAGGAGGACCGGGAGCGGTATCATTGCAAGCGAATTGTAAGCCGCTGCCGAGTCCCGCGCTTTTTCATTATATGAGCGTTGTTAAGCTAAAAATAAATTGCTTATTAAAAAGCCTTGCCACCACATGCATAGCCAGGTGGGTGGTGGTGGGTGGTGGCTCCTGGTGGGAGTCACTCATTTACACTTCAGGAGGCAGCAAAGCGAAAGGGGCGCGGTCGTTGGCACAGACAATGCGGAATGAAGCGATGGAAGGCAGGCAGGCAGTCAACTGGGTGAGAATGACAAAGCCGAAAGGAATCTCTCACTCCCAACTCCCCACTGCCCCTTTCTCTCTCAGCATCCTTATCCGAAACCATATCCCTGCTTTCTCCATTTCTCCCTGTGTGCGCTCCCTGCGCTAAGCGCGAGAAAGTCCTTGAAGCAATCGACTTAATGCCTGGCTGTGGCGTTTGTACATATTTATTTGCATTTACATGGCACACATAGACACAACAAGGACATCAGCACACACAGGCACTGCGAGAAAAATATGTACTATAATTCCAGATAATATAATTTATAAAGGATATTTTATTGTTAGTCTTTTAACTGAAAGACAAACTTTCATAGCAATAAATTGTGGAAAGTATATTCATCAAATATGTAGTTAATTCCTTATTTGTTCTTTGGATTTAATTATACTTACTTCTCTGCTTAAGTACCATAAGCCATAATCCTTTAATTTTCAAAATTTGATATGTACTTAAAGCATATAATATATTTTACAACATTTATTGTTGTTACTGTTTAAATACATTATTAAATTCGACTTTTTCTAAAAATTTCAAAAGTACCAAACATATATTTTTTCACGGTGTCCGAGAGTGAAGCTAGCACATTTAATTTTCTACACACTGCACCATGTCCTGATAGATTAACTGGGTATTGGGATGCCACTCCATATATGTATGTGCTTAGCTCGGAATGAGCGCTTTATAAATATGTCCTTGTCAGCGTCCGAGGTGGAGACAATTTGCCAAACCCCTCTGCATACTTATCTACGCAGGGATCCTGGTCTGTGGGCTCCAGGTCCTAGCTCCTGGCTTCTATATCCTTCCAGCAGGCCTGATTGGATGGCAGAGCAGAGTTCGAAAGTCAAGGTATTTCGTTCGTCCAGCACGAGTGCGTGAGTGTGTGTTCCTGTGCGTATCCTGCACGCTTCAATGAATTTTTGTCAACGTGATTCGCATTAGAATGTGTATTCAAATGAGCACATAATTTGTTTGTTTGTCTGTGCTTCCTAGCTACCCCAGAGTCTGTGTGCATTAAGATATGTCTACATGTGGGATTGGACTTACTGGGAATGAGATGATCGACCTGGCGATGCTAACTATTAGATATGTTAAGTGGGGTTTGTGGAAGAAGATATTAATGGAATAAAGTCCTGTTGATGGTCTCAGTATTTGTCTTCAAACAATCTTAAACAGCTTTATTACATTTTTAAGTTAAAGAATATATATATTCTATACTCCTCTGTGTACAGTTCCATCATACCCTTACCATCTAATACGGGGTAACAATCGAGGGATAAATATCGAAGCGTGCGGAGCAAGATGTGGCTCAGCATTTGGCATTTTATGAGTGCAATTATGTGTGGCTGGGCGTGTATGTGAAATAGAGACCCTCTGGGGCCCGGAAATAGGTGTGAGGCGTGCGTTTGATATAAATTTCGAACAAATTACAAATAAATTGGAGTTGTCGTGGCTGTGCGCCATTGTCAACCCCAAAAAGCAATCGCTGCCAAGAGGCCCCACTAGTAATTTAAAATATGCAAATTTCCCAGGGCTCTTCCACTCTTCCCTCACCATCCTATCTCCACTTGGCTGGATATTTATTGCGATTTGCGCTTTTGTCGTCGCCGAAAACTGTTTTAAAGACAATTTTCATTGGGACTTGCCGGAGAGTAACCCAGAAATAGTCCCCCACCTACCCCCAACAACCATAACATTTAATTTACTTAAGTTGACTAAGCCGCTTTCGGGCCAATCACTTTGACGAATATTGTGTGTCTGAACCGCATTTTAATTAAATGTATAAATCCATGTGCGGGGCTTATCCTTTCGCCATTTTATCCTGTTTCTGTCTCTCTGTACGTGTGTGTATGTGTCTTATATTTGATTGATGTGGCGCTTGTGCCACTTTTTGCGGCAACGAGTCAACGCGAATTGATTTAATGCGAAATGCATTTGGTTTTATTATT